TAAATGCCTGTACTGAACTGGAGGCATCTGCTGGTTGGAATTTTGGGTTGTACTTGTTCTCCTCAGCAAAAGATACGAGTCTCTCTCAAGAATAGCACTAGATTCTTGCTTCTTAGGTTAAGATCACAGAGAACCAGGAAAGGTAAGGGAATGAAAGGCCAGGGTCTCAGAGTAGGAAGGAGCCAGGGCTCCCTGGCTCTAGCTAGGGTTACCATATGTCCAGGTTTTCCCAGGTTGGAATTTTGGGTTGTACTTGTTCTCCTCAGCAAAAGATACGAGTCTCTCTCAAGAATAGCACTAGATTCTTGCTTCTTAGGTTAAGATCACAGAGAACCAGGAAAGGTAAGGGAATGAAAGGCCAGGGTCTCAGAGTAGGAAGGAGCCAGGGCTCCCTGGCTCTAGCTAGGGTTACCATATGTCCAGGTTTTCCCAGACATGATTCTTTTTGACCCCGACCTCATGCCCAGGCAGGTTTTTAAAATGCAAGCAAATGTGCAGGTTTTTGCTTTGCCTCTGCTTTTCCCAAGCACAAGCAACTTGGATGCTTGGTGTTGGGAGCAGCGGGCAAGGTGATTGGCTGTGAGGGAAAGGTCACATGGTCTGTGCACAGGCCCCGCCAAGTAAGCGAGAGCGTGTGTGTCTGTACGTGCGTGTGTGCAGCAGGGCCTGGGGGACAGGGGACTCTGGGTTGGGAGTGAGGGGCACCAGCAGGGCTGGGTGTGCAGGGGGCTACAGTTCAGGAATGTGAGGCACCAGCAGGGCTGGCGGGGGCAGGAGGCTGCAGGTCAGGAGTGAAGGGCAGCGGCAGGGCTGGGGGAGCAGGGGCTTAGGAGTGAGGGGCAGAGGTAGGGCATAGGCATATCACACTGTGCCCTCCACAGTCCCTCCCCCACTCAGGTGTCCTCTTTTTTGATCCTGGAAATATGGTAACCCAACTCCACCCAAGATCAGCTATGGCCATCTTATGCAACCGTGCCTTCTACGTTGTGATCATGAGGCTGCCCAGGGCCCTGGGCAGAGGCTGGAAGGGAGTACCTCACTTCTCCAGGAAGGAGCCCTTTGTTCCTGGGTCACCCCCTGCTCCCTTGGGCCTGAGGTGCCCCATGTCTTGCTAGGCCCTTTGTGGCTGGCTCTGGGCCCTGGTGTAGCTGGAGATCTCATGGTTGGTGGTCCCATACAGTATCCTGCTCCATGGCAATGGTCCAGGGCTCTTACCAATTTTTTTGTTTCCGAAACCACCGGCCTCCCTGAGAAGTACTGTACAGGTGTAGCATAAGGCCTTTGCAAAGCCAGCCCCGTGTCCACGTACTGCCTACCCTGCCTTGCCCAGACTTTCAGGTGGTCGCATGTGTTGTGTGTCCCACCCCCTGAACTCCAAGCCAATTGTCAATTTTTTTAGACCAGCATGTTTATGAATAGAGGTGTTTCCGGAGCTGGCTGTGTCCATTGCTGTCATTCACCTGAGCCAGTCTGGCCTGCAGAGCTAGGAGACAGGAAACAAGGGTGGTTCCTGGGCCCTGCAGCCCCTGCAGAAGGGCTTAGCCCTGGTCTGGAGCCTCCAAGGGCTCAGCACAGTTGGACATCATGGTCACAGGCTCCAGCTCTGGAGGGCTGGGCTGGGTGTGAGGCTGGGCCCCCCTTTTTGTGATTCCCACCAGTGCTGTCCCATGAGCTCCTGTCTCTGGCCTGCCCAGGCCCCAGGGATCCAGAAAGAGCAGTCATAGGCCTCACTTTTTCTACTGTCCACTGTGCTTAACCGCTGTGCTGAGGCCTTTCACAATGGATCCAAATCCATGTTGGCATTACATCTGCCTCAATAAATAAGTACCCTTTGTACTGACAGGTGACAACACTAAATCACATGACAATGGTAATGACTGATATCATTAACAGTCTGATGTATATTTCCTTTTAAACATTAAAGGTTTCTATTCAATATAAATATATAGTACAATAAAACCTTGCTGCTTTGTGGGTACTCCTTGGTTAGAGACAGGCAAGGGGACATCATCCTGAGAGAAATGCGCCCTTGCTGAGGTGTGAAGCAGTCAGCAGCAGCTCTATCTGTTGCTCTCTGGTGGAAGCTACATCCATGGAGGCACTGAACTTCTGGACTCAGTCTGGCCTTTGGACTCTGTCTCGATGGTCTGAGTAGGGGGTGGTAGGTCTACGGCAGCCTCTTGTGCTCAGTCCTCTTGCCTAGGTGTATACGCTGGTGGTTATGGTGTGATAGTCATATAGACCACTTGCATGTAAACCATGATCCAGGTGATCAACAGTTGCCAGGACAGTACAACATGAGATGTACAGACCAGTGCAGCCCAGACTGACTGCCATTTTTGCCCTCACAGAGATGGCCCTTCTCTGACTCTGTGGCAGTTTGTATGTGGCCTCGTGGCCCTCTGGCCTGACATGCCATTTGTCCTGGGCATGACATTAAACTGCATCCTCTGCTGCTTTGTGGACATTTCTTGGTTGAAGAAAGGCTAAGGGACCTCATCCTGATAGAAAAGGTGCTCACACTGAAGCAACAGGCAATTAGCAGCTCTATTCAGGTTGCTCTCTGGCAGCAGCTACCACTTCTGTGTCACTGAATGTCTAGACTTGTTCTGGCCTTTGGATTTTGGCTGTGATCTTAAGGGGGGATGACAGGTCTACGGCAGCCTCCGCTCCTCTATGACTTGGCAAAATGGTTACAGGGATTGGAGAGAGGAATAAGGGCCCTGAGGCAGCTACCAAGATTTCCAAGCAGCACTGGTTAAAGATGGCTTGCTTGCCTCACATAAGAGTGGCTTTAGAAAAGGTGGGTCAAACAAGGCTTGCCTCACTGCTTACATCCTGGATCAACTGATTTTATAAGCAGAATTGATTTTTGGAATATTCAGACTCTGACCCCTGGATATGACTCACATCTGGATTCAGATCTAAGGAAAATGGCTATGTTGAGTAATGAGCTTGCACATTTCAGAATTTATATTGCAGGTGTTTTGGAAACTTGGCTCCGTGACACAGGCTTCATAAAAGAGGACTACATCACTTCCTGGCATGGCAAACCTGAAGGAATAAGGAGAGCATGGTGTAGGTTTTGCTATCAGAAATTAACTTATGTCATCATGTGAAGTGTTCCTACATCGATTTCAGTATCAATACGTACCACAACACTGCATTAGATTATGGAAGGGTTTCATCAACCCTGTCAGTGTCTATGCTCCCACCTTGCAGGCTAGTGATGAGGAGAAGAACAGCTTCTATCAACAGCTGGAAGAACTGATCAGCCGGATTCCATGGAAGGAACCCATCCTAGTAGTTGGAGACTCCAATGCAAGTGTTGGATCCAATTCTGAGACCTGGCCTGGGATTCTGGGCAGGCATGGCATTGGACGTATGAGTGACAATGATCAGAGAATTCTTGAGCTCTGTGCCAGTCAAGACTTATCGGTGACCAACACCTTTGCTGGTAACATCAGAAGAATGTCATGAAGACTGGCATCAGCTGAATTTGTTACTGAAAAAGCATACACATTTGAAAGACAACCTGCATACAAGACCCTTCCAAAGCGTAGACTGCAGCACGACCACTCCCTTGTCAGCTACAAAGTGAAGTTTCAAGCAAAGAAGATCCACCACAATAAAACTGCTGGACAACCTTGAATTGACTTGTGCCAAATCAATGATCCTATCAAGAAATAGCTTTTCATTGAAGAAATAGCAAATCAGCCAGAATGAATGAGACTGCATCAGCTGCATGGGAAATCCTGAAGACAACTATGTACAAATGTGGCAAGCAAAAGTTTTGGAAAGAATACTAAGAAAAATGATGACTGGTTTGCAGACCATTTGGAAGTATTGCTGCCATTCATTAGCTGGGAAAACCTATCCTGAGAGCCAGTGTGGCTTCTGGTCGGAAAGGTCCACCATAGAGATTGTCTTCTCTGTAAGACAACTGCAAGGAAAGTGCAGAGAGAAGCATATCCCACTATGGCTTTTATAGATTTAACAAAAGCCTTTGACACGGTTCGTTGATCAGAGCTTAACACTGTTCTGAAGAAGCTTGGTTGTCCACCTATACTGCTAAACCTTGTGAAATCTTTACATGATGGCATGAAGGCAACTGTAATGTATGAAAACCAAGGGTCTGACTCATTCAGCATCAACAACAGAGTGAAGCAGGGCTGCGCACTGACTCCCACATTGTTTAACATTTACTTCTTACTAGCCTGTCAAGAATGATGGGTTCGGGAAAGGGGCTGGGATGGACTGCCGCCACCTAATGCCCCATGCTGCCACTGTTCTGCCTCTTGCAGGGAGCAGGGTGGGGAAGCCAAGGCCAGCACTGCTGGCCCTTGCTCCCCCACCCGTCCGGTCCTCAGCGCGGCTTGCAGGGAGCAGGATGGGGGAGCCGAGGCCAGCACTGCTGGCCCTGGCTCACCCACACTCTGTCCGGTCCTCGGCATGGCTTTAGAATCATGGCGGTGCTCCCCCATGCTTGGAGCACTCTGATTGGCTGTTTCCATCACCCAATCACAGTGCGAATAAAGCATTACAGACAGACAAACTTAGACTTTTATAATTAGAATTCCTGTTTCAACATGTGTTCCGTGATGTTTGAGAGGGTGTCTTATCTTGGCACTAGACATGATGTAGGACTATTTGGTCTCCTGCTTGACGCTGGCAGGGGGAGCGCTCCAAGCCTGGGAGGAGAGAGGCCAATACGATCTTCACAGTGCATCCAGGTCACTTGCTCTGCTCCTCTGTGGGCCACGTAGGCTTTTATAACAGGCTCTAGGATGGACCAGGTGAGAGGGGACAGTCACCATGCCACCAGTGCCCTGCCCTGGGCACAAAAGATCTGAGTCCTTCATGCCCCTGGAACCCCACAGGGCCCCCCCGGCAGTCCCGGTTTCTGAACACGGCTCACCCCACCTCCAGGTGCATGGGCGGCTGGTGGACCTACCTTTCCCCACACAGACATATTAGGGGTCACTCTGGGCCCTACCCTCTCGAGGATGAGATCCTGTTGGGTGGAAGGATGAGGGAGTCAATACAGGGGACACGGGCCCACACACCTGCATGCAGATGGCAGCCATGAGCACAGGCTCGCAGTCTCATATAGGTTGTTGGGGACTGGGGCAGCAAGTATTACTTGGGGTGCAAAGGGCTTCAGTCCAGGACGTGGCCAATCTCTTGGCCTCCCCAAGCCCCGCTGGGGTGTGCAGGGTGCTTGGTCCCTTTGGGCCACACTTGTCTTCCTTGGAGACTCCAGCTTGACCCTGCTTTGAGGGCTTCTGTCAAGACCCTAGGAGAGAAGGAGATGGGACAGTCACCGTGCCAGCTGTGCCCTTTGCTGAACACTGAGGGTCTGAGCCCCTCACATCTGTGGGCCCTGTAAGGGAGGGAGCCTGGCAGGGGACCCATCTGGTGCCCCAGCCCCTGGATTTGGCCCACCCCAACCTAGCGCACTGCTGGTTGGGGTACTTACCACTCCCTGCATGACCAGCTTGGGTAGCTTCTGTCTATGCCTCAGGGTCTCAGTGTGGAGCGGCTGTAGAAGGAAAGAATGGGGGAGTTGTTGTGGGGAGCAGTGAGTACCTGCTAGGGACATGGCCTCACACACATGCACACACAGAGGCCAGTCACCAGTATGAGCTCACGTGTATATGTACACACTCCACCCCACTAGACACGCACACATCCCACCTGATGGACACCTCTGCTCCTCTAGATGTCTCCCCAGGGCACATGGGCATGCCTGTCCTGCCACCCCCCACCCCCCAAGCATACATATCTGCACAAACCCAGGACCTATGGTGGGCAAATCCCTCCATAGTCTGTGTCTCCATTTCCCCTTCTCTATCAGACAGATAGCAGAGGTCCTAGCCCTAGGAGATGCTTAGAGGCAGAGTCCAGAGAAGTCCCAGCCTGGCCTCTCAGGGCACCTGGGGATGAAGGACTCCTTGGGGAGAGGATTTTAGATTGCTCAGCCAGGAAAGAGCACAGAGAAGGCTGGACAGGGACTGGATTAATCCTCATGGCCAGGGCAGGTGTTCATACATGGCAGGGCACAGAGCACTGTCTCCTCCCAGGACTGCAGGCAAAGACTCTGGAAAAGTGGGGGGCGGGGGGGGTGCCAGGTTAGGAAGCAGACAGGGCCCAGCAAATCATCACCCCCGTCCAAGGTCCAGGGCGCACCTCACAGCCACTCACCTGGCTCTTGCCTCTGGACATAGCACTGGTCCCCACGTCTTCATCCTCTTTTTGTTGGCATGGTGGGTGCACCAACATGGGGGCCCTCACCCAGGCTGGTCTGTTGGTCAGCCTTGGTCTACCAGGAGGCGGCTGTGGGGTCAGCTGCACCGCAGATCCTCCCTGAAGCTGGGGCAGCTAGAGGAGGAGAAGAGCTGGGGTAGGTGGAGGCAGTGCTGGGAGGGATCTATGAGGGGGGCTGCAGCCACCCCAAAATTCACTGTAGCTCCTCTTTATCCCCCCTCCCAGCACCACTGCTGCCCGCCCTGAGCTCAGTGTGGCCCAACCGCATCCTCCACCCTCCCTGCCAGGAAAGGCCTGGTGCAGCCCTGGCACCAGCGCACAGTGGCAGCTTGCCTTCCCTTGTGCAGATCCAGGGCCATAAGCCCCCATGTTCTCCCAGGGTGCGCGCAGCAGCGGGAGCCACCACCCCCTCCCCATGCCAGGTGTCCTCTGGACAAACTGCTCGCAGCTTCATCCCATGCCGCATTTGAGGGGGGAGGGGGCCGCTGAGCACACTCACATGCATGTATATGTTCAGCTCCCCCAAATAATTTTTTCTCCCTCCACTGATGAGCACAGGGAGTGGGAAAAAAGCAACCCCAGGCAGCAGCACAAGCACATGGTCCCCCATTGTGGCAGTAGGAGGCTGGAGCACCAGGAACCCTTTGCTACTCCCATGCCAGCCTCACACCTCATTGCAAAACCCCAAGGTGTTGTCAGCCCCTTACCCGCACTGGGCAGTCTTTTGGCCGTCTCTCCCTGCCACCCGGGCCAGAGCAGCTGGTCTGAAATGGGAGAGGAATAGGAGCAAACAGCCAAGTGCTTGGACCACGAGGCCCTGGGTACCTAGGCTCTTCCCTATGTATCATCACTCCAAAATCTATACTAAGTATTTTATCTATTCTATTCCACTATCTCTATGTATCTACTCTTTATCTCCTCCTTCTATCTGGTCTCCTATCTACTATAGTATCTAAAAACTCTCTAATCTAATCTCCTAACTCTAATGATTTCCAACAAACAAAACCTCTCCCTACACCTGAGTCTCTTTGGTTGCGCTGAGACTGATCAGAAAGCACCGGTGGTTAGATTTATTCCCTGCCCATCCCTGGTTTCCATGGTGATGGAGTGACATGGGAGCTACATCACAAAGCAGCTTTGTGTCAGGCTCTGCACATGGCAGTTGGCCAGGGGCCCTGGGCCATATCCTGCCTGTCTTTCCCCCTCACCCCCAACTACAAAAGGCCTCTCACTGGGCCTCAGGTGTCCAAGCATGATCTGATTCTGTCCCAAACCATTAATACCAAGTGGGTCCTTCTCCTATCCATGGGCAGACACTGGCTGAAAGCTCGGATGGGCACAAGGAGCCATGGGCACGGAATTTCAGGGTCTATACCAGGCTGGGGTGGGACCCCATGCAGATCAGAGTCCTAGCAGAGCTGGGCTAGCAGGGCCCTCAGGAGGGCTTGTCTAGTCCAGCCCCTGCTCAGGGCAGGATCAGTCCTGTCTGAACCCTCCTAGACAAGGCTATGGAGTAGCTGGTTCAGACATGCTCAGCAGCAGATAGAAGACAGATCCCTCACAGCAAAGGAGGCCACCCCCTTCCCCACCACCCCCACTGATCTGACCAGAGGGCCCTGGCCCATTCAGCACACTCCAGAGCTCCCCACAGTTGCTGGTGTAACCCTGGGCGAGACGCTACATGCGCCCTCACCTGAATAATGGGATCCTGGGGCACCTGGTAGCCAGTAGCCCTGCCCAGCCCCCCTGGGAAGCTGCTGCAGTGCCCCCGAGCGGAGAGCCTCCCCTTACAATCAAGCACCCTTGCAGATAGTTCTCAAATTATTTACAAGATTTAATTATTTACATCATAATAAATAATCATTAAATAAGCACATGGATATACTGTCTAATAAACCCTCAAGAACTTATTTACACAGTCTCTCACTTGCACATGGTGTACTGGGGATCCCGTGTGCACTGCCCCTGGCGGGGTATCTCAGGGAGCAGGACTGTCTGTGTCCCTGCACATGGTCTGTGGACGCTCCCTGGCACTGGTGTCCGTCTCCGTGCTCCTGGGGTCTCTGAGCAGCGAGCAGCGGCTCCTCTGCAGTCTTCCCCTGCCTTTGCCCCCCTTCCCTGGTTCTGCTGTGAGCAGTGTCTGGGCTGCAGGCTATAGCAATCCTCCTGCCCCACACAGCCTCACAGCCCCGGCAAATGCAGCCCCTCCCTGGGGTTTGCCTGCCCCTGGGGCCCCCTCACCCCTCAGGGAAACTAGGACAGACTCCGGCAGTCCCCGCCCCAGCTCTGCTGTGCTCACCCAGCCACACCAGCTGCAGTCAGGTCTCTTCACATTTGGGTTCTCCACACCAGCAGTCCCTGCCTGCTCCTGCTGCGGCAGCTTCTCTGCTGCTGCTCCTGCAGGCCTCCCTCAGGGGCTCTCCGAGGGTCCACTGCACTGAGACTCTCAATCCAGTCTCCAGCCTGTCCCTCAGCCCCCCCGCTTTCTTTTGTTCCCCACTTTTATCCAAGCCTCTCAGCCAATCCCAGCTCAGGGCCCTTCCCGGCTTTTGCTAACGGCTCTATTTCACAACTTTTCTGGGGTTACATCACCCCTCCCACTTCCAACAGGGCTGCTCCCAAACAGCTTCACTTGCCCTCAGAGCCTACAGTGTCCCCTCGGGGACAAACTCTGTCTCTGCCAGGCAGCTCTTCCCATTCTGTTCAGGTGGGTCCATTTTTTAAAGGCTGCTACACTGGGTTCATGAATTGGCTTGGCCAGAACAGAGGTTTGTGGGATTAGGAGAAAATGGGCATAGTGAGCTGCAAGGCCTGAAACACAGCCATTATATGAGACACATGCAGGAAGGGCAGTCTGAACTCCTGCTATGTACAGCGCAGGTACAGCTGGTGAACTCGGAGACAGGTGGGGCCGGTGACATAGGTGGTGGGAGAAAAAAAATTGGGGGGGGGGGCTGAATACATGCGTGCATGCATGCGCACCACCCCCCAGGAAAATCTGCGGGGGTGGGGGGAAGGGCCATAGAGGGAAATGGGGCTGGGACTGGGCAGGGAGCAGAGCAGAGCCAGGGCCAGGATTGGGGCCAGGGTATACTATGCCTGTCCCTTCCTCTGCACCCAGTCATTGCCCAGCGCTGGCTGCCCCTGTAAATTCGCCACCCCACACCAGCCCTGACTCCACACTTCCTGCGGGGGGGGGCCTGGAAAAGGGCCAGCCTTGGCTGCACTGCCAGGCCAAAGGGGACAGAGCCTGTGGGACCCCCATGCCTGCCCTGTGTCATCCCCAGGAAGAGGCCAGCGGCTCCTCCAGGGGTGTGGTCCCCGGCAGCAAAGGTGGACCCATGGCCCCCCGATCTTTGCACAGGGCACAGGCAGGCTGCAGCTGCCAGCTGCACTCTGCCTGCTCCATGCCTCGCTGCTGCCTTTGAAAGTGGCGTGGTGCGATGCCATCTGAGTCCCGCCACTGGACGGTCCAGCCAGGAAGGCACATGGCACCGTGCCACGCCACTTTCAAAGGCAGCAGTGAGGCATGGAGTAGGCAGAGCGTAGCTGCAGCCCTCCTGTGCCCCATGCAAAGATCGGGGCTGGGGGAGCCATGGGCCTCCCTTGGCTGCCTGGTGCTGCGCCCCTGGAGGAGCTGCCGGGCTCTGATTGTCCCATGACCCAGCCCAGCTGGGGTCCCATTCATTGTGAACAGAGCCCCAGCTGGGCCAGGTTGTGGGACAATCAGAGCCTGGTGGGTCGTCCAGGGGCATGGTGCCCGGCTCCCCCACAGTACATGTGGCAGTGGGAAGCCAGCCCTCCCCCTCCCCTGGACAAGCCACACCTAGCTCCGTCAACAATACAGGTGCCCCACTGCCCACTTAAACAAGTAGCTATTTCAGTTATTCAAACTGGTCAAGTGATTCCATTGTGCATGCGTCATTGGGGCGGCAAGATTGCCCCAAGGTGCCTTACTGCGCATGTGTGTAGCGGACTGGACCAGCCTGCATAATCATGACATGATTGATCATGTCATTTTGAAACTGGTGGGGCAGCGCCTGAGATCCCCCTATTGACCAGCAGCCTCTGGTACGGTGTGGCAGGTTGGCACCACAACAGGGGCCAACCTGTCGTGGTGCCTTTTAAGCCCATCCTGTCAGCTCTTCTGACTATGTCCTCGAGTCTGGTGACCCCTCCCAAGACACTGGGCCATCAAGTCTCACAGCCAAGAGAAAAATACACTCCTTCTCTACAGTCATCTCTGCTGCCTCCCAGGAACTCCGGGAGGAAATGAGGACAAAGTAGGTCCTTCTACATGGGCCATCAATGTGTTCTCCTGATGCAAACCTCCGGCAAAAGGAAGCTCCTGTTCTCCACCAAGTCTAGAAAATAAGCTGGCCAGTAACAATTAATAATTGATAATAATAGTCCCAGGGAGCTGAGAAGGGGGAAGCAGAAGTCTTCCTGGGATGGGTGCCCCAGCTTTTTAAAGCATTGGGCAAAAGAATCCTAATGTCCAGGGACAAGTGATTTGGGGCAGCACCTTAATGAGGCAAACATGTAGCACAGGTTGAAATACAAATGAAAACAAGACAGAATCAGCAGCACTTCTGAGGGTTATTCTACTTGCATGTCCCTGCTGAAAAACCCCAAGAGAGGCAGGCAAGGCTCTTCTCAACTCTCCTCACCTGTGGTAGTAATGCACCATTGTATTACCCCAGAAAGGTTCAGTGCACCACGAGTTATTGCATATCTATTTAGTCCTTAGAGCTGCTTCAGCACCCCTCTTCTGATGCATCTTCAAATTCCTGGCAGCTATTTCTATATCTCGGATATTAGCTGTCTTAGCTCTATTGTTTATCACTTACCCTAAATCCTGAGGCATAAAGTCATGTAGTTACTTTTGTTAATTAGGCCTTAGGCAGCCTTTATACTGAAGCTTGAACTACAGTTGCTTTGTTCTGTCAGTTCCCTGCTTGTATTACAGCTGTTTTGCCACTACCTCTAAAGCTACACAGACAGTCCTGACACTTCTAGGATGAGAAGCAAAAGAAAACCCCTTAAAGAGAACAAAACACTCCTTCCAGGCTTCTTCCTTCTATACACACAGAGAAAAAGAGCATAAGACAGCAAGGCAGTGGTTCTCAACCTTTTTAGACTCAAAGCACCCTTATGCTCAAAGCACCCCTCAGAAAATGCCAACTTCTAGTTTTTACTTGTTGGACTACAGAAAAATAATACAGCAATTCTGTTGCAAAGAACTCAGAAAAACCACAAAAAGGTTAGAATATTTTTGACACTATGGATCCTTATTTGAAATCTCTGGATTCATCTTTTGAATCATGTTTGCCATACTGGGAGAGAGACTTGGGGAATGGCATGAGGGGAAATGGATCCTACATGAACTAGACTGGGGTAGCTCTGTGCAGTGAACATTTGTATCAGAGGCCAGGAGTTCTACCAGGGAGCAGATCCTGAAAACCTGCATTATCACTGAAAATGTTCCTAATGGACACGGTATGGGCTGACATTGGGTGCCAAATCAGGATCATCACTTCCCATCACACATGCAGTTGATGCTCCAGGCATCTCAGCTCCCTTCGCCTTAACTTGCCAGTACTTCCAATGGAGAGCCAGTCTGCCTTGTATATGGTATGAAGAGGTGGTCTGACACAAAAAAAAAAAAAAAAAAGCTGTGCCACACATACTTTTGTAACATGCCCACCTCTTTTTTCATTTGTATAAAGAATCCAAAATTAAACACAGGAGAGACTGAAATGCAGGTGAATGTCCTAACTTCCTCACTAAAGAGTCATTCTCTGTTGCAATGAATATTAAGTAGTGTGTGCAAAGTTGGAAGGTTTCA